ACCTATCTGGTACCCCGATAATTCTGGATGATCTCCTTAACACCTGCTCATGTGTAACTTGCTCCACTTCAGATTCTTCAGTAGGAGTTGGTTGAGTATCTGCTTCAACATCTCTGGGGTTACTCTTCTCCAACTCAACCTCAACTCCCACTTGCTTTGTAATCTCTAGAACCTTCTGCTCTCTGTCCTTGTACAGGACAGACTCATCAAATGTCACGTCACAATGTCTCAGGATCTTTTTGTTCTTGTCATCCCAAAACCTGTAACCAAACAAATCAGAACCATATCTTATAAAGCAACACTTCAAAGCCTTGGCATCAAGCTTGTCTCTTTTTTTCTGGATCAACATGAACATAAAAAGTGCAACCAATAGTCCTAAAGTGTGAGAACTTGAGTTCTTTTTCTGTCCACACCTCCTCTGGAATCTTGAACCCTAAAGGAACTGATGGTCCCCTGTTGATAAAGTATGCAGCTGCGCTCACAACATCCGCCCAAAATATTATGGGTAGACCAAAATGTATCCTTATACTCCTTGCACTCTCATTCAATGTTCTGTTCATCCTCTCAGCAATTCCGTTATGCCTTGCCTTACCAGAAACTATTCTCATCAATCTGATTCCCTCAACTGCACAGAATTCCTTGAACTCTGATTTGTCATACTTTCCTCAATTATAAGACCTTAGGCATTTGATTTTCAAACCGGTCTGATTCTCAACTTCAGCTTTCCACTTCTTGAAAGTTGCAAACACATCTGACTTATGCTTCAAGAAGTAACTCATACCTTCCTATTGGAATCATCAATGAAGGTAACATAGAATCTGGATCCTCCAAGTGATGATACTGGGGATGGTCCCCAAACATCTGTATAGACCATTTCCAACCGCACTTTCTTTGGCTCTCTACGAGTCTTTATGAAGCTTATTCCTTTCTTTTTGCCCATAACACAGCTCTCACAAAGACCCATATCGACAGACTTCAGACCCTCTAATGCTTCTTTTGCAACCAGCATCTTCATTCTTTTAGCACTCATGTGTCCTTGTCTGTTGTGCCACAGACATGAACCGGAAGCACCTTCAACAACAACGGCCATGTTGATACACCCTGCATTTGTGTACAAGGTTACGGATTCGGTGCCACGAGCTACTACCATAGCACCTTTCACCGTCTTCCACAAACCTTTCCCAAACTTTGCTGCATATCCCGTGCTATCCAAATGACCAACAGAGATCAGATTTTTCTTGAGCCTAGGAATATATCTGACATCCTCCAATGTCTATTGGTTTCCTGAGGGGGTCTTTTATGCAAACATCTCCCTTTCCTTCAATCTCTAATGCTCTTTTATCAGCAAGATACACCTTTCCAAAATTTCTAGATTTGAAATTTTGGAAAACTCCTTGCTTGGAGATGAAAGAAAAGATGCACTAGAATCCAAAATCCATGATTAGATCGGGCTGTCCATACTAAAGATTAGAGCATCCCCAATGTCCTCTGCTGAATTTACAGAATCATTGTCATCTCCAGATTTCTGATTCTGTTTCTTCTTTGGCTTTGTAAAGCTCATCCGAAAGTTCCCTTTTTCTCCACAGTTCCAATAAGTCACGTTTGATCTGTTTGGAGATTTTCCTTGATTCTTTTATTTTGATCGGCCATGTTGATTTTGGCCTTTCGTCTTACTTCTCCCTCTTCGGTCAACGCTGAGAGAACTGCCCGATTAATCTCCCATTTCTCATTTGCAAATACTTTCGCTAAGAACAACATCACAGATTTCATCAAACTGTAGTTTATCTGATCCACATGAACTGTTAATCGCAGCAACAAAAGTATCCCAAGACTCGGGCAGAGATAACATCAAAATCAATGCCTTAGTTTCATCTTCGAAATCAATATCCACAGAACTGAGTTGACTCACAATCATATTGAACTCATTTATATGATCAGCAACAGATCCATTCTCAGACATCTGTAAATTGAACAATCTACACATTAAATATACCTTGTTATCGCCTATGGTTTTTCATACATGTTTTACAGTGCCTTCAATAGATCGGATGTAGTCTTCTCCTTCACGATGTTGAACGCCACATTTCTTGACAAACTCAACCGAATCAACCCTAGAGCTTGGCGATCCTTGAGCTTCCACTGCTCCTCCGTCTTCACCCCGGTCAACGGTTCGTGAAGATCTTTCTGGTACAGATAATCTTCGATCTGCATCTTTAAGAAATTGAAATCAGATCCATCAAACTTCTCGATTCCAAGCTTCGAACTATCCATCTTCAGTGATCGTGTTGAATCTCCTTAGCTCTGATACCAGTTTTTAGGATTGAATCTACACACACACACACTTGATGAATGAAGAACACATGAACTTTCGAGAGAGAGATTAGAGATCTAGAGAGAGAAAGAGAGAAACCAATAGTTTATGGTAGCACCCCGTGGGTAAACTTCCACGGCGATGAGGTATATATATATTAATAATTTCAGAGTATGAACAGTTACATAGAAAAAATGAAGAATAAACAGTACATCCTAATATATGACAGTACATCAAATATTAATCAGGTTCCACAACCTAACACCAAGCACAACATTAAAAGTTCAAGCAAGGAAGTGCATTGTGGTGCTTAGAAGATAAAAAAATCAAGTTCATTGGTTTGTTCCTTCTTGCATAGCTTACAATATTGATATATGATATCATTCACTTACCACCAAAGGTTGCAGGAGTTCAACTGATCTTTGTACATATTACAATCAAATCAGACCATGAGTCTGAAATGTTGGGTTGATTTTACTGTACTTTGGTGGACACAGTTGATTGCTTTAATGTTATAAAGTAATAGTTTTGTAATGTAAGTTCTTGAAATTGAAACTATGATCGGCAACGCCTGCAAAATCTTGATGAACTTCTCCATCTAATGAATATTTTCTCGTACATCAGTTGATGATAAGACTATCCTGCTACAACCCAAAAATACAGAACGGCAACAGGAAACTTCAAATGAGGCATATTATTAAACAACTTGGAGACACAATCCACATCAAATTTAAGTCATCTTTGATGTTTTAGATTTTTGCAAGACGCCTAACTTAGAATAAATTAATTGTTATTGGATAACATTAGTCAAAGAAACACAATCCATGTGCAAATCAGGTAGCTAGTTAGTTAAACATGCATGTAAAAATTAAATTTAGCTAGAAATTGTATCAAAAAGAATAAGAAACTAAGATACACATACCAAAATTCTAATTCCCATATTCGTCAATGTTAGGTTGGAAGTGAAAGAAATGAATAGAACAATAACTTGGGAACTGGAAAAACAAAATTCAGAGCAAACCTTTGAATTTAAAAATAAATTTAATTAAAAACATAATAAATGAGTACAGAGACTTGAAACTTATATAGAAGAGAATAGGAGAAAGAGAACTCATATACCTTTCAAACCTAAAGCTTGAAAGCGATGAGATCAAGTTTGTTCTTTGAAGGGGTTATGGCGGGAATTGAGATGTATGTATATTTTATTTATTGAGGGAGGGTACATACAGATCATACAGGTGGTGTGAGGGAAAAGTTTGTGTACTTACACATGTTAAATGGAGCACAACTTGATTGTACACTTTATGTTGCTTATTGTACAATTATTTGTTGTTGTGTTGGTCCAGAGTTACTGTACAAATTAGATAGCTTTTGGTACAACTTGTTAAAGGTGTGTTGGTACATCAAACTCTCATATTGTACAACTATATATATAATATATAAGTATATATTTGTTGCTGTGTTGGTCCATAGTTACTGTACAAATTAGATAGCTTTAGGTACAACTTGTTACAGTTGTGTTGGTACATCAAACTCTCATTTCTAAATATGATGATGATGATGAGGGATATAATAATAATAATAATAATAATAATAATAATAATAATAATAAAAATAACAACTAGTTTCGTGCATCGAATGTGCATATCATGTGCATTACACTACATCTTTTGTCAATTAATAATTTTATATTTTTGACAATCAATATATCATGAAACGTCAAATACCAAGATGCATGTACCACATGATCACAAATTGATCTTCTCATCATGATATCCATAAACACTTATTTGGTCCTCTCATGGAACCCACACTAAATTAGTTAGTTTATCAAATGGTTACCTAAACCAACTATTGTTAGTGTATCGGCGTGGTATCCAAGCCAAGTAAAGTTAGTATCATATCATTATATTGTATGTATATAATTAGATATTTAACCATTATTGACTCTTTAAACTTTCTTTTACCTCTGGAAGCTCGCAACTAAGGGTCAATAATTAGTAAAATAGGTGCAATGAGCGTGTCTTTACAATACACATTCTTTAACTATCCCAAACTTTGCAATAAACATCCTTCTGTTGGGGCCTAACACATTCATAACCTCTCAAACTTGTCCTCATTTTTCATTTTGACACTCCATTTTGGCCTTCTTCTATTTTAAACTCTTAGACTCCATTTTTTATGTACCACTTAAACACGAAATTCTAATTTTTATAGAGAAAATGTACAAGTACCCCCTCAATCTATGCCTGAAATCCCAGACACACACTTATACTATACTAAGGTCCTATTACCCCCCCCCCCCATTGAACTTATTTTATAAGTAATTTTCTACCCCTTTTTAGCCTACGTGGCATTAGTTTGAAAAAAAAGTCAACCATCATTGGGCCCACAAGATAGTGTCACGTAGGTCGAAAAGGGGTAAAAAATTATTAATAAAATAAGTTCAGTGGGGCAATAGGACCTTAGTATAGTATAAGTGTGTCTCTGAAATTTCGGGCATAGGTTGAGGGGGTACTTGGACATTATCCCATTTTTATAATATATTTATTTTTATTTCTGTTCTTTAATTGAAGTTTCTTATTTTAAAAATTGATGTGCGTCCATTAATTGTTGTAAAATATTATATATTTTTTGAGTTTTTCTCTATATTTTTGCATGAAAACAAATTATAGTATTTTGATTTTATTTCTTAAACATTCAATTAAATTAAATAATACAAATTATTTTATATTTTTTATATCATCCCTGTAGCTTAACTTAATACAAATACTCGCTTTGTAATTTTTAACTTATCAAAATATGAATTAAAAACTCATCTTCAATATGAGTTAAAGAAAAGAATCTCTTGTTCATGGCCAGTAACACTAGTAAAATGTACTAAAATTTGATAGACTTTGTTGGATTGTCAATGATTTTTTAAGAAAGAAAATCAACACCATTTCAGAAAAAAATGTTTTGTTAAAAAAATTAATATTTGTTTGTTAATTTTAATATTTTTTTATGTAAATTAACACATACGCGTCAATTTTTAAAATAAGAAACTAAAGTTGAAGAACATAAATAAATTAATAAAAATTATTTAAAAAAAGTATTTTGTGGTTAACTGGTACATAAAATGGAATATAAGGGTTAAAATGGATAAAAAGCTAAAATGGAGTGCCAAAATAAAAATAAGGACACGTTTGAGATATTGTATGTGTCTGCTCCCCAAGAAGGATGTTTATTGCAAAGTTTAGGATAGTTAAAAAAATATTTTTTTTCATAATCATAAAATGTCCTCTAAGTTTGGATTAAACTTGAGAGATGATATTAGCCCAAAACTTCAGGTAAAATGAATGAAGAGTATAACTAATTTGATAAATACGTTTAAATATTATTTTATACCCAAAATTTTGCTTATTGCATAGGTTGCTACTACCATATATATACAAATACAAAGATTTTATGCGTATGCATCAATGGTTTATTATTTTAAATTCTTATAGGAACTTTTGTACTATACTAGAAGCATGAGCAATGGCAAAGGTATCAAACCTGCCTGTTTTTTGTCATTAAAGTTTAAGCTAAGGGTAACTTCGAGTTTTCACTTCGCTGTACACAATACATGGCTCTCATCCTGCACTTGAAAAAACAAGTGGGTATCTTCTCATCCTTCATTTTCTATCTGTGTGTTATACTCCATCATTGTTGTGCTTTTGGGGTCTTGATGGTTTGAGTTGGAGTTTTGGGTGATTGTTTATGATTTGTGTGAGTTGAGTTTCAAGTTATTTCGTTTGTTGATGTGAATTCTGGCTGGAAAAATTGTGATTTTTTTAATTTTATTTGTTCTGTTCTGGTTGAAACTTGAAACTACCGATTCCTTGATTCTTACTGTGTTTTAAGAAAAAAGTAATATCGATGTTCCCTGAATATTGTTGATTTTCCATGTACTATCCAAGACAAACTAACTCATTGATTTCTCTTTTAACATGTATTTGCAAATGGGTTGTTTGGATCTCTGTGTGATTTAAGAACATGAAATAATGGGATTATTTTTCTGATTCACTATTATTGTTCTTCTCTCAATTGATTTGGGAAAAAAAGCATGTTATATTTGAAAATTTGTTAATCGACTCTACTTTTGCCTTCTACCTGTTTGTGAAAATTCCGAAGAAACATCCTCTTTCATTTCAATTTCTGTCACTTTATTTTGCAGTATGAATGTATACAAATATTTCGACACTAAATTAGTCATTTATTATGCTACGTTCTAGACAAATAGCATTGACGCAACATGGAATTTCGTGTGTTGAACCGAATTGCAAAACTACTTCACTCGCATTCTGGAAGATAACTTAAAGGTGTCATCTTATTCATTGTTTCAGCTCTCCTAAATGCCCGTCTTTTGAGTTGGTTTCTTTTCGAGTAGCACTAACCTTTGGATATACATAATGCGTCTTGATCCTTTTAATCGGGGTACCTGCATACTGTTTGAATAAACAAGACATTTACAGTACAATGGATTTAGTTATCTAACGGGGAGAGCATTGTAACTCTCAAGAAAAGGTTTTTCTTTTTCTGTATGATTGTGATTGGTCAAAGAGAAAGGTATGTACTATGTACTACTTGCCTCTCGAAATGCATTTGATATTTGCATCAAATCATATATTTTGTTATAGCTTAAGTAGTAAATAAAATGAAAGATTACAATAGCTAACTAAGGACCAAATATTCTCTTAAATGTGTTTAAGATTTAGGGCAGAGAGTTTAAACCGGCATGAATTTTTTTGATGAAGAAAAAGAAGATGCTAACGCAAGAATTTGAACCCTTGACATGAAGGTTAATTTTCTGTTTAAACCGGCATGAATTTATTGAACAACTTCTCAAGACAATCTGCAAAAGCATCAGGCGCCAATTGTTTTTACCAACAGTAGAGAAAGTTTGTCTCTTCGAAGGTGTCACAAGGGAAATTCTATTTACTTCTGTTAAGACGATTTTCATCAAAGGATGTCAATGGTTGTAGTAAGGGAAAAAAATTGAAGGCCAATAGGGCTTAATTACATTGACTTCTATATACAATCTAATTTTTTGCCTGCTCCTATGCAACTGTGGTCTAATTGCTGAATAGGTTGCAGATATGAAGGCTGAGTGCAGACCTCCAAAAGAGGATATAATAATGCATAATGAATCACCAGACAACTTATGCATAATAGTATCAAGGGAGATGAAAATGATTGAGTCTAAAATGAAGAATGAACAAACTCTTTAGACTTCTAAATCTAGAGATATGATTGGAGAAGTAAGAGCATTTTGTTGTAGGAAACATGTATCGTACAAATAGATTTTCATAGCTCTTGAAGATCAGAATGAGTAATTTGATTGCAGCAATAAATATTAGACAAGTGATAAAGAACTTCCTTCAGGTTAGTGCAAAACGCCCCGTAAAGATATTTTCACTCGTCAATTTAGAGTTGAATCTATATAGTATGCCAATGTTTGGAAATTGCTGCATCATAAGATCGAAGCTCAAGGGCTTAAAGCTTGGAGATCAACTTAATGGAGATTGGGAGGATTACGGTGTCCGAACATGTATATTTTTAAAGTGTTGGTGGCAACGGAGAGAAGAAAGAGATGACGTGATAAGGGAGGGAGATAGGAAAAGAACTTCTGAAGTGCAAGATTGTTTCTTAAAGTTTTCTCCTTTTCCCTAACACAGGTCTTATCCTTCTTATATTGGAGTAGCTCATTTAAAGATGCTACTGTTCTAGAAATTCCATTCATTTACAGCATAAATGTGTGCTGCTAAATTCATATTGTATGAATATATTTGTGATTGTAATTTGGAGTATGAGCGAGAGCTCGACATGCAAAACGCAGACAAGTTCTATTTTTAAAAAAATGTGAGAATCTAAAAATTATTTTTTGGTTCCATATAATATAGCAATTATACGGTAGTTAGTATTATCCAAGCTTGAATTAGTTTTATGATTGTGAGATTGTGGTAATTAAATATCACACAAATCAAATGATTTATTTCAATGGGCACGGGCAAGTCTCATCTAGTTTTTTTAATGTGAGTGAGTCTCATGTTTATTTGTCTCTTCTTTTAAGTTTAGCTTTAAAAAACTTTTTTTAGAATAAGTATTTATATTTTTGTACAAAAATGGTATTTATATTTTTGTGAAAAAAAATATTAGTGCAGTCACAGTAAATAGGTTGAGGTTAAAAATGGTTGTTTTTTTGTTGGAATTTTCATAATTTAAATTTATAGTTAACCACTTTTAATACCACCTAGGTGAATAAATAAAGTTCATACAATCAGGAATATTATAAAATAAAAATTTGTCATACTGAATCTACAATAACAATAAATATTAGCTAGTTAAATCATATGAAGTAAGGTGTGGAAAGGGTAAAATATATACAAACCTTACGTCCTTAACACCATGTATACAAAATCTAATTCATAAAAATGTCAAGGAAAATACTTAGATGCTTCCGTTCTCATTGAACATGATAATAATTTGAAATTTCATTGCTCATCAATTTAAGCTTTATTTGAAGATAAAAAGTCATTTCTAGGAAGCTTAAGGAAACAATTAAACTTTGCAAAAATAAAAATGCTAAATAGGGTGAGCTACATCTTACAAGTTGTCGTGGGTTCTTATTTGCTTGTCCATCATTCAGACAAATAAATTATTATTAGATTTTATATTTAGCTTTCGGGGGTTGCATCTCTATCTGAATTTATATTAGAGTTTAATATGGTGACTTTCATGTCTTAGAGGTCATTTTTCGCACTGATTGTTTAGACTGTTGAATAGAGTTGATGGGGACTCAATCCTCTTATTTCTAAACTATTTTTCCTTTGTTTATGATAAACTTTAGTTATTTTGATATTGTTAGGTTGTTTCAATTTAGTCCTTTAGTCCTCCCATCGAGTTAATTTAGTGTGGACAACACTCAAGATAGTATGAATTGGGACAATATCTTAACCCACTTTTCTCCACGATCCCCTTCATGTGCCTATAAGAAGGTAATCTTTATTTCTAATATTTAATTTATGAATTTCTTTACTTCTTAATCGAATTTTTTTTAGCTGATGTTTCTTCTACCAAAAAAATTTAACAAAGTTCAAAATTGCATCACATGCCTGAGAAAAAACAATTAAGCCGTCTTGGTTTGCTAATGACGGAATTATATAAGAAATCTAAATACATCTTGTAAAATTAATATTTTCAATAAAATAATTACTCACATAGTGAATAAAGTATCTCGTAGATAGAAGTAAAGCCAAAATTTACGATTAACAACTTCAAATTTATTTTTAAGTTATTTGGTTTTAATTTAAAGTGTAGCTTTTATAGATCGTAAAAAAATTAATGGTATAATTAATTATCCTATAATTTTTTTCATAAATGAATAAATTTAAAATTGTATTTTTTTCCAATGATTAACATATTATGCAAAATTGATATTTTCTGCATGCATATAAATTTTTTATTAATAATATTCTACCCTTTTTGACTTACATGGCACTATCTTGTGGGCCCAACACTGGTTGACTTTTTCTTTCAAACTAGTGCCACCTAGGCCTAAAAGGGGTAGAAAATTACTTATAAAATAAGTTCAGGGGGTAATAGGACCTTAGTATAGTATAAGTGTATCTCTGAAATTTCGGGCATAGGTTGAGGGGTACTTGTGCATTTTCCCAATTTTGACATATAATCTTGAAATAATAAATATTTACTCATTCTATCTCAACTTATGTGGCGCACTTTAAATTAAAGAATCAAAATTTTAAAATTTAAATCATCATATTTGTTGAGATAAAATTTACATCTTTTAAAACTATGTTTAAAATATTGTAAATCATGATAACTGAACAATTCAAATTATTTAAAGGATGATTTTTTATTAAAAAAAAAGAAACTTGTTTAACTCTGATAAATTCAGGTATTATATAAATTGGAAATGAAGAAAACAGTTAAATTTTTTATTTGGCTAATGTCTTGATGTAAGATACATAGAAACAAGAATTATATTTCATTTCTATTATTGTCCCAAGAGATTTGAACTCTTCAATTTGTAGTTTCATTAGTTTACACAATCCGACCTTGAGGTGGTTTGTTGCCACATTTACTGTAAAAATCATTGTAGAAATAGTCATCGATAAAATTACAAAGAGACCTACAAATATAAGGATCTTTGTCATTGCAACAACAAACAAGAGGAGATGCTTCAGCCTTTTGCAAAATACCTATTAAATAAAATTTCATTAATTTATATATATATATATATATATATATATATATATATA